GATGTTTGGTAAGAAACCCAACATCAAGCACTTTGACATGAAGGATCTTGGTGAGGTATCCAACTATCTTTCTCTGCAGGTGGAAAGGGACCAAGCAGGTAATTTTCTGGTACACCAAACACAGAAAATTGCTGATGTATTAGCCAGGTTGAATTTGGTTGATGCAAACCCAGCAGACACACCGATGGTGCAAGGTTACCAGGTAGATAGTACTGCTGAAGCGTTTTCTGACACAACGCTGTACAGATGCATTCTAGGCAAGTTGAATTTCATTGCTAGATGCTCAAGACCTGACATAGCTGTAAGCACTAACCTGCTTAGCAGACATGCTAACAATCCTACTGTTCAGGATTGGAAAGCTCTGAAGCGCATAGCCCGCTATTTAAAAGGGACTTTGCACTACAGGCTGAGGTTCACCAGTCAGAAGACTGGAGGTCTTGAAATCTTTGCAGATGCTAGTTTTGGAAGTGACACCACGAATGGTACAAGCACTTCTGGAGTATGCTACATGTACAAACATGCTGTTTGACTGGCTGTGCAAGAAGCAGACGACAGTGAGCCTAAGTTCCTGTGAAGCAGAACTCAATGCTCTGTCATTTTCACTCATGGATTGTGAATGGTTGATGCAACTGCTTAAGGACATCAGAGTTTCTGTGAAATGTCCTATACAAGTGTATCAAGACAATAGATCCTGTTTGGCTTTGCTGAACTCAGAGAGTTGCAAGCAAAGAACCAAGTACTTGCAGATTAAGCTACATCGTGCAAGAGAGTGTATTCAGAAAGGACTCATTCAGGTGTCCTACATGGCAGGAAATGAAATTCCTGCTGATCTGTTGTCTAAGGTTGTTAACAGAGAACAACTTAAGGTTTACGTACAGAGGTTGCAATTGGGTTGAACCACAGGTACTACAGGTTACACGGAAAGGGGGAGGATGTTAGGATATTTCCGTTCCACCTTAAAAGGGAGCAGGCTTTGTGAGTCACAGAGTCTGCGCATTTCCTGTTCACAGGAAGTTTATGTTTTCTATTGCTTTCGTTTTCTCTCTGTGTGTCGTAGACACTGAAGCAGGCAGTCATGTTTTTCTTTGTTCTGATCAATGCTGAATAAAACTTGTAAATAATGCTCTCCTGAGTGCGACTTTGGCTGTGCATTATCTGCTGATAGAGAGTGTGCATCGGCTCTAGAATGTGGCAGGCTATTTCTGGAGCTCATGTCACTAATTGCTGATACTGCGTGACTACGGGAGATCAACGGACATCCGGACACAGCTTGGGGCCATGATGGACTTTATCTCCCTGGCAGTATCCCAACACACCCAAGAGGTATTCCAAAGAGTTTGCTAACTCAGCTGTTGCATGTGTTACTATTGTTGACAACTCAGCACAGGTTGAAGCTGTGTCCAAGTCAGAGACAAAGACACAACAGGGAGTTGCTAAGCGTAACACTACATTCCCTAGCCAAGGTAATGCAGAAGCACTCATTCCTTGGAAGTCAGACAACCAGAGATATACACTGGGGAAACCAGTGGCGGGTAGTTCCAAGGGTGGAACTAAAACAACAGGGGATTGTTATATGTATAACAACTGTTTGTTTTCTTCTCTGGATCAAGCTTTGTTCGCAGCTCACATTGATTCATATGGGGGAGTATGTTACGATATAGAAGCAATGCAGCTGCAAATTGCTAGCTTGAAAACATCACATGATGTTGGCACTGTCCGTGGGAAACAGAGGGACAGTCAATACACAGTGCGAAGCACCGGAATTAGCTCAGAGTGTAATATGAGCTCTTCCTCTTGCTCTTGTACAGGAAGTACAGGAGGTGTTTGTCTCTCGACTGCTGGAGCTTGAAGAGAGCAGTCATGTTTTCTGTAATGCTGCAAAGACAGAAATAAAGGCATGTAAATACGTTTCTGTCTATCTCTTTCCCCTGCTGGGGGGGCAGGAAAGGGGGGGGTGTTCTTCTCACGCTGAGAAGAATCGCCTATCGCGACCTAGCCTGGATCTTGCTGGGGAATGCAGCCAGGGAGGTCAACAGGAAACCAAGCTGGGTGCCTGGGAGTGCTGCCTGTTACTCCTGATATAGGCTTGATTTCCGACAGATGGAACCATCAGAAAAAAGAGACAAAAGAAGGGAAACTTCCCAAAACTTTCTTTGATATGACTAAAACTTTGAACTTGGTAGACATTTGGAGAGTAAGGCATTTAATGGAGAAACAGTTCACTTATTATTCTCATGGCCATTAGAGCAGTACGAGAAGTGATGCAGTTTGGATTACTAAAGAATTGGAATTCAGTCAAGAAAGTTGAGATAGAGCAGAGGATTATGTCAGATCATAACCCAGTGGCTGTGGAAATGCAAAAGGAAGAACGGTCAACCTTGAGATGGAGACTTAATAATGATTTATTGGATGACCAAGAATTAGTAGACAACACAAAAAAATTAGAAGAATATTTTAAATTGAATTTAAATAAAGAAATAAAAACCCAAACTGTATGGGATGCTAGTAAAGCGGTCATGAGAGGCTTTTTTTTTTATAAGATATTTATTAGGTTTTTTGAAATATTACAGTAAAAATGAAAAAGAAAAGAGAAAAATACAAAATAAAAACAATTAAAAACACACATATTTCCAGTTACTTATTTTCCTTTAGCTTGTTTCCCGGACCTCCTCGTACCTCCCTTTTTGTATTCCACTTCAATTTATTGGTTCAGCAAATCCTTACCATTAGATTTTAACCCATTTATAACCCTTTTTTCATATTCTCTTAAAGCATTACAGCTAGAAACCACTTAGTTACTATCCAACATCATTCTATCATTCATTAATTTTACAATATTTCTGTAAGTAGTCTTTAAATTTCTTCCAATCTTCTTCCACCGACTCTTCTCCCTGGTCTCGGATTCTGCCAGTCATTTCTGCCAATTCCATATAGTCCATCACCTTCATCTGCCATTCTTCCAAAGTGGGTAGATCTTGTGTCTTCCAATACTTTGCAATGAGTATTCTTGCTGCTGTTGTAGCATACATAAAAAAGTTCTGTCCTTCTTTGGCACCAATTGGCCGACAATGCCCAGAAGAAAGGCCTCTGGTTTCTTCAAGAAGGTATATTTAAATACCTTTTTCAGTTCATTATATATCATTTCCCAGAAAGCCTTAATCCTTGGGCACGGAGAGGCTTTTTTATACAACAAAATGCTGTTAAAAAAAGAGCCAGGGAAGCAAAGAAAAAGGAAATTTTGGGTGCCATCAGTGGCGTTGCAACGGGGGGGGGCATGGGGGACAGTATGCAGCTGCAGTGGCTATGGACGGGTCCCGGCACTGTCTTTATGGGGCTGAAGTGGCACCGGCGGCAAACCAATATAAAGCACATGTGCAGCGGCGCTACGTACGGTGCATGCGTCATACGTAGTGATGCCGCACATGCGCCCTACTTCATGATGCCCGCCCTGGGTGTCACGATGCCTTCCTTCATAGTGGTCCCTTCCAGATGCCTGTTTTTGTTGATTCATGATTGTTTCTATTCATGATAGTAGGAGGGCAGTTATATGCAAGACTGTATTCAGTACTGTTTGTGCCTGCAAAGCTTTCGGGACAGACATACTCTGACACTTCCAACCAGTGCCCCCTAACTTCCAGCTGAAACCAGGTACCGTTTTCATACCACAAATGTTCTTCAGTGGTGAACCATGGCGTCTCAAATTCCAGGGGAGCCCTGTACAGTGCCAAAATTCAGTGCCCCCATGCCTCTCAACATCCATTCAACATCATATTGTGGTGTCCCCTGTGGGGCCCACAAGGCTTCATGCCAGTGTGACCAAATCTGTTGCACTCCCCTAAATCCGCCTAAATGTTATGGGGGGGGGGGGGAGTTGTCCCACTTAAGTTGCATTTTATAGCTCAAGAGGGCCCCTCTGGCTGATAATAATATAGTAGCACAGGGGATGCATCACAGAACAACTTGCAAAGCAAAATGACATGTAGTTGGTCCACCACAATTGCAATATTATTGCATCAGTGACCTGCAAAAAAGCCTGCAACAAGTCACTGACTGCAGTAATAGTGCCCTGCTATGTCTTTCACACATGGAGCAACTGGGAAGAGCTTTTGGGGCCATCCAAAAATAAGATAGAATAGAATAAATAATTCATATTTATTATAGTATACTGCATATGTTCTCCTCCACACATACAGGAGGACATGCAAACTTGTATGCAGGGGTATACAAGTTTGTAAATTAAAAGAAAAGGTTTTATTTTTTAAATAATGTCAAGTCCTCGCTGTGCGAGCAGGTACCCAGAACAGGGGGCCTTGTAAGAGTGCACCATGGCAAGGTAGGCATCAACAAAAATTCTTCCCCTCTTTGACTGTGTATTGGTTGAAAAGTGTGCAGCTGAGACTGTAACAAAGGAGGCATTGTGATTCCACAAGCCACTGTTACGGCAATTGGAACAGGTTCTAAAGGCAATGAGGGAGATACTCGTCCAGTTGTAAATAATTTCTTTATTTTCCAATAAATGCAAATCCCCCCAAATTACCAAGTTTCATTCTGACTTTAAAATAAAAACAATGCAAATATCTATCTATCTCAGAAGGTGCTATGACAAGCACCTGGGAGCTTTCAGGGCTTGCAGAAGGTTGAGTGTTGGCGATCGACCCCCTCGGGAAATGCTGACTCCTCTTCCCAGGCACTGGGGCCTCTGGCCGGTGATCTGCCCCTGGCTGGTCTTTGCTCAGTCCAGGGAGATCGGTAATAAGCGACACGTCCCTTTTGGAAGATGCACACTTCCTTTCCCCTTGCATCTCAGCAGAAGAAAGAAAACAGTCTGAAAGTAGTCTAACTCATTGGCTAGTAGAGGGCAGGGAGAAATTCAGGGCCCTGCCAGACTGGCTTCCCTCGCGACAAATACCCCCCCCCCCAATAACAACAAACCCACCATAGGGCCTCACATGCTGTTGGCAATGATGTTGGCAAATGCGTGGCTCAGGAGCCTCTCGTCCTCATGAAGGGGCTGCAAGCCCACCAGAAGGCTGTAGTCCATTCTCATTAAGCAAAGCGGCACAAATGAGCTGCACCGTCAGGTCCTGAGCAGGGAGTGAACCCAGCTGACTTGCAACAGTCTTAAATCTTTGATCCAAGCTGTTTATGATCATGAAACAAAAGATAGCTTCATCAAGCAGAAAATTTCGCTCCGCCATCTGCCGGCGCAAATACTGCATCTGCGTCAGATGAGCCTGAAGATCCCCATCCGGCTTCAGTCTAAAGTTTGTGAGCTTTTCAAAATGCAGCAGAGCAGTCCCAGCTGCTTCACGCATGTGTATGCGTCTCAAAGCTTGCCACATGTCCCTTGCGTGAGGCAAATCTGCAATGTGCACCAACTGGTCGTCTCCTACACACAAGATGATCACAGACCTTGCCTGCATGTCAGAGTCATTCCAGACCCTTGTTGGTGCAGCAGGGATGGGACTTCGAATTACTCCAAATATTCTCTGTCTCTCGAGCAGCGCCTGCATTTTTAGAGACCAACTGAAATAATTCCCATCTGACAATGGTGATGGATATGGCAGCCCAGCCCCCAGTCTGGCATCCATCTTGATCCCAATTAACAGCTATCAGCTACTAGCTGGAAACTTGGCAGCAAGCAAGCTGTAAAATTCCAACAGCCTTTGAGCCTTAACTGCTCAACTCCGGCTTGCGTCTGCTTTGAGGCTTAACGAGTCCATAAATCAGTACAGAGTACTCACAGTTCCTTGGCGGCTAGCTTCAAAAAGTGTCCGACATGACTGGCAGGGTAAACAGCTCTCCCCCGGAATGTAGGAACTTGGCTTTCGCTGTGTTTTAATCCAAAAACAAGCGGCAGAAAAACAGCATAGCTTCGATGAACCGGAGAAGCCTTCGATCCGCGTTCATCAGGCAGCCATCCATCAGGAACCATCTGGAACCGGCAGACGTCCATGGAATCGCCCCAACCAGCAACTCTGCTACCATTTGTTGGCGATCAACCCCCTCGGGAAAGGCTGACTCCTCTTCCCAGGCACTGGGGCCTCTGGCCGGTGATCTGCCCCTGGCTGGTCTTTGCTCAGTCCAGGGAGATCGGTAATAAGCGACACGTCCCTTTTGGAAGATGCACACTTCCTTTCCCCTTGCATCTCAGCAGAAGAAAGAAAACAGTCTGAAAGTAGTCTAACTCATTGGCTAGTAGAGGGCAGGGAGAAATTCAGGGCCCTGCCAGACTGGCTTCACTTGCGACAAATACCCCCCCCCCAATAACCACAAACCCACCATAGGGCCTCACATGCTGTTGGCAATGATGTTGGCAAATGCGTGGCTCAGGAGCCTCTCGTCCTCATGAAGGGGCTGCAAGCCCACCAGAAGGCTGTAGTCCAGGCATAGGCAAACTTGGCCCCCGGCTGTTTTGGGACTACAATTCCCATCATCCCTGACCACTGGTCCTGTTAGCTAGGGATGATGGGAGTTGTAGACCAAAAACATCTGGAGGGCCGAGTTTGCCTATGCCTGCTGTAGTTTATCATGTCGAAATCCTTCAGGAATTGTGTGCCCAGCTCCATCTGAGTCGTCATCCAGGCACGCTGTGGAGCTGCCTGGATGAGAGATGGGCATCTTCGGCCAGTCAGGGGTGAAGAGCTGGCAAGATCCCCTGTACTGAGCAGAAAAGCAAACTCTTTGGCCTCCGAGATCTCTCTCAACTCTCAGGAGCCCTCACTGTGATCCATACTAGAGGAATTTTGTCCTGCTTTTGCTGAGCTACAACACAGGAGTGCACCCCCAGGTGGCCATGATGTGGTAACCCTGGCGAAGCATTGCAGAGCAACTGAGAAAACAGAATGATGTTTGCGTGGACAGTCCATTAGAAAGCTGCACTATTATTGCATCGCTAGCACATTGCAGAATATGGCCCCCCTCCACGCAAAAACATCCATCTGGATGGACAGTAGCTTTCATTTCGGAGGTTGTGGTTTTACATCTTCCTATTTATTTATTTATTCAAAATTATTTATTTATTTCATAAAATTTATACACTACCAGATGGTAAGAAACATCAAAGCCGTTTACAGAAAGATATAACCATAAAATCAGGGAAAACCTACAGTACATTAAACGCTGAAGAAGTGAATACCAGGATAGATCAGAACTGACTCCCAAGGCAAGGGGAAGAGACATGGCTAAGATGGCAGGACAGCTTACTCTATGATGTTAACCCCTTCATGCACTAATTAGATTGAAGCATGTTGGTTGTTTGAGACTGGTTATCCCACACAACATGCTCTCACGCAACCCATGCCCTCCAACTGAAAACCCATTTCCTGGACAATATCAACATTGTGTTTTGTGCCTGTGAACTGCACAGTGAATATTTTTATTAGAAAAGAAAACAGCCCGGTATTTCAGCTTCTCAAAGTTGTTTTATTCAGTGAGCTGCTACAGCTTGTCACACCCAAATCCTCCAAAGGAATCTGCCAAAGTGCTTTTCCAGGCAAAAGGGGGCAGAGGAAGAGAAACCAAGAACCTCAAATTCACTAGACCAGGGATGGGGAATTCTGTGGCCCTCTAGATGTTGTTGGATTCCATCACCCCTGACCGTCAGCCATGCTGGCTGGGGCAGCAGGCCATTGGATCTGGCAATATCTGGGAGCCCACAAGATTCCCTGCCCCCGCCCTAAACAAACAACCAGGCACTCAGCTGTGAGGCATGCCTCTTACCGGAGGGAGGGTCACTCCAGAGGCAGCTGTGGCATGGGGGTGCTGGATCATGCCTTTGTGGGCACATCTGAGGACTAAAGAGGACCCCCTAGGAAGCGTGCATGGAGATCTTCCTTACCACGTGGTTCTCTGGCAAAAACACAACAATACTAATGGCCATATGGAACCACACCTCAAAGCTGGATCAGACTTCCCAGATCCTGCAGGAGGAAGTCTGGGGCAGAGGGGCCTAGAGTGGGAGTCAGAGCTGCTCTTAGGGCTGCATGTCTGAAGCGTGGGCAGAAATCTTTGGGTGTGAGGTTGCATGGGGCTGTCTCTTTGTGTTTTGGCGATGCCAAGCCGCCAGCCAGCCAGAGGCAGGCAACCAACTGGGTTCAGGGGCAAGCTTCTTTGCAAAGCCAGTCTGACTTCACCGAAGGCAATGGCAGAGTGACCATTCGGCCCGTGTTCTGCTTCGCTGTGAAATGGCATGTGTTCCTCAACCCAGAGAACCTCTCGTTCAACGTCAAGCTGGTCTAAGGAAGAAAAGCATAAGAGTTAGTCTTGAATCCCCACACACATGTGCTGGGAGATGCCTGCACACCCTGCTCTGGAGTGAGAAAAATCCACCACATTCAAACACTCCTGCATGAAGCTGCCCATGGCAAGGTTACAGCACAAACCCTAGAGATTCTGATGTCCAGGAATGGTTTCCTTGAGGGCATGTGTCATAGGGTACCTGTCAGGGAACTGCCATCAGTACTGGAGGGAGAGCGCAAAAGCCAGAGGGATTCCAGAGAGCGTCCAGGGATCAGGAGAAGCAGCCCATCTTCTGGGGAAGAGAATCAGCGTAGCACTAGTGGAGAAGGGGGGCAGGTGGGGGAAGTGGCGAGGCAGTCCCATGACTCCTTGCCTGGGACCAGCGGGGAGAGTAGGGGTCCTCCGTTGCCCACACCCTCCCTGCGCAGAAGGCTTTCGCGCAGAGAGGGTAGGCGGAGACTAGGCGTCAAAGAGCTTCTTTGCTGGAAGAAGTTTAAGAAACGCCCACTCATGGATTCTGCCAGCGACTGAGTCAGCCACAGGTGAGTGGCGGTCCGGACAGATGAGGTTCACTTTGGCAGCCCAGCCAGGTGTTTGCACCCAGCCAGGGAGATGGGTACCTGCTTACGCACGAGCAACCCCTTAGAAACCATTACAGTACCAAACCCACCTTCTATGTTTTGAAGCCCGGGAGTTAAGAGATGAGGAGTCCACCCAACCCAAGCTCGAGCTGGGGGTTGGACTGGAAGGGAGACAAGCTAATGTCCCCAGAATTGGGGGAAAGCTTGGCTAATTTCCAGGTCCAACTGAATGGCACCATGATGTGTGGTCCTCTGATGCATGAGAAAGCTCAGAAGGTAAGAAGAAAGCTTTCCTCCACACTCCTGATTTCAGCAGGTGGCTAGAAGCGGCCACCTGGACGGACGGACACACACAAACACACACACACCAGCATAGGTTCAACTTTTAGCACACCTGAACCTTAACAAAAAGTCTTCAGCCAGATGGCATGCAACCCTTTGGCAGGGGCAACTTATCATTTTATTGATTTTCCATAACAAAGAATTAAAAATCGGACAATCTTTCAAAGGAGTGTTGCCATGTAAACTGCTGGTGTGACGTAGGAACCCAAACAAAGAAAAAGAACAAACTACCCAGAGTCTGCTTCCGATTGCCCTTGTTCTCCACCTCCCTCTATCCTAATCAGCCGCAAACAAGAGTTCAGATTTGAAAGCCTTGTTGCGTGTTGAGTCCCACAATGCCACCCCCCAAAAAAAATTCACACTTCACACATCAATTTTTGTTTAAGGTTTTTGGCATAATTTTGGCCACAACTTTATTCAAAATACAAAAAATGTGAGTGGTTGCTTAGGCATTGGTTATGACTATCTGTCCTTGCCCTCAGGGACAGAGCTGGCCTTCCGGACACCAACGGAAGCCAGCGTGGGAAACAAGTATTGGGTGAGAAAATGAAGCTGGGTATCAGTCCCTCACTTCTCACCCTCATGTTCCTGTGGGGCTTGCACGGCCCAAGTCCGATTCCAGGGACAAGGACGAAAAGAATGGCAAGCCCCTGGATTCCTTTAACGGAATTCCCTTTCCGCATCATTTGGAGGGATAGGCACTTACCCCTCCAAGCACCAATTTAACCAATGCCTAACCGCCAACCTTACAAGTTGTGACGATTTGCTACGCAGTAGGCAAAAACCAAATGGCACCAGCCAATCAGCCAGATGGCAAAATTCCTACCAGGCCCCCGCTCCAAGGCGGACGACCCCATGACAGGCATAGCAAGGTCAAGCGATCAAGAAAAAACCACCCTATTAAAGGGAGGGAGGGCGGGTGATCCGGTGCAAAACGGCCAAGAGGACGTCCAACGTCTGGCCCCTGTATTTAAAGACTCTGACCCCTCCTCCAAATTGGCAACAATCAAAACTCCCCAGCAACCCAATTTTAACCACTTAAAGGCTTGGGTTCCTCACAAAATCTGCCCAGTAACGGCAGGGTGGCTTGTTCCCCCAACCGCAACACGTGCTCTCTGTTAGGGAGAACACGCTTTGCGTGTTGAGTCCCACAATGCCACCCCCCAAAAAATTCACACTTCACACATCAATTTTTGTTTAAGGTTTTTGGCATAATTTTGGCCACAACTTTATTCAAAATACAAAAAATGTGAGTGGTTGCTTAGGCATTGGTTATGACTATCTGTCCTTGCCCTCAGGGACAGAGCTGGCCTTCCGGACACCAACGGAAGCCAGCGTGGGAAACAAGT